TTTCTGGACGTGAAAATGGGGGTGTCACAACCTATGCAAATAAGAGCAATGAGCAGGCAGTCTCAACAATATGCCGGTGTTTTCGTTCTGCCGCACCGTTTTGCTGAGGTGTGTCAGTATACGAGGACTGGTGTATGGTACCATCAGAAGCAAGTAACTGAGTAAAATCATTAGAGGTATATTCACCCCCTAAGTCACACCTGAAGCACTTAATCACAGCCGAATGTTGAGTTCTAACAAGAGCACTAAAACTACTGTAAATATCAAAGAAATCAGATCTGCATTTCATAAGATAAACCCATGTATATCGAGTATAATCATCTATAAAAGATACATAATAGGTTGACTCACCCTTTGTGGATACTGGTGCAGGACCCCATACATCAGAATGAATAATGTCAAAAGGAGCAGTAGAACAAGACATACTTTTATTGAAAGGTAAAGTAGAGAATTTTTCCAGTTTACAACCACTACAATCAGAAATATCACAAGTGTCTAAATGACCCAAAACACCACTAGATGCTAAAAAACTCAAACGTGATACAAACACATGTCCCAAACGAGAATGCCAAAGATAAAACTCAGACGACAAAGGACTCAAACGAAAAGAAGATAAATCAATGTTGGAGGCAGAAACAGCAGATACTTTGAGAACCTCCAAGACATACAGTTCCCCCACCCTACGGCCAATCCCAATCACCTTCTGGGTGTGTTGATCCTGTATAGCACAGACAGAATCAGAAAAGAACACCCAATTACCAGACTTACATAACTGACTGACAGAGGCAAGATTCAAAGTAAGTTTGGGAATGTAATAAACATCGGGGAGAGTGATATGAGAAATAGAGACAGACCCAACACCCTCAACTAGCATAGATTTATCACTAGTAGACTTAAAAGAAATAGATGACACTTGCGACAAAGAAGTAAATGATGACAAATGAGGAGTCATATGATGGGTTGCACCAGAATCTAAAATCCACAAAGATGAGGGAATACCTGATGTACCAGATGAAGTAGGACCAGAATGAGACATAGATGTAGACATGGCAGTGGGATTAGAGGCCAAATATTGTCTGAAACTCTCTCCAATGCAGATGGTGGCATTTTTCCAACAGAATCTGTATCAACTGGTGGTATAGCAGCAGTTGCAGCAAACTGTGGAGGACGAGGGGTCCATGGAGGAGTACCAGAGGAACGTGGCTGAAACTCTTGTTGACCAGACCTATTTTGTTGTACCAACTGAGGTTGACCAGATTTACCCTTGTTGACTAACAATGGACACTGAGCTTTCCAATGATTTTTCTGTTTGCAGAATGCACACTCATCATAAGCAACCCTCGAAGTTTGTCGAGACTGATTAGAGGAAACAACGAGCACAGCAGGAGCGGGAGTAAGAATAGAGGTTTCTTTAAACCCTTTATCCGCATGAGACTTGATATAAGTCTCTTCTGCAATTAACTCATGGACAACAGAATCAACTGAGGGAAGAGGAGAGCGATGAAGAATTGTTCCACATAGACCTTCAAAATCAGAACGCAAGGCCATCAAGAACTGGACCAAGGGTTGTTCTTCCCTCCTAGCAATGTAAGGCTCAAAATCTTTTAACTCTTTAGATCAGTAAGAGCCAATTGATCCCACATATCAGACATAGAAGCATAGAAATCTTGAATGCTCTGGTCATTTTGTTGAAGGGCACGAATATCATATTCTAACTGGTATTGTTTAGCAAAGTTGGACTGAGTATATAGTCTCTCCAAGTGATTCCAAACTTCCTTTGTTGTGTCATATTTAGCTAACTGCATACCAATGGACTGAGTAACAGAGTTATTAATCCAAGTAATGACCTTGGAGTTATCAGTCTCCCAAGCATCAAGCAACAAATCAAAATTCTCAGTTTGAGGCATTGAGGGTTTGGCTTTAGTCCCAGGGACATAGCCCCACATATTCTTCCCACGAAGGAAGTTCTTCATAACGTAACTCCAATACGTATAATTCTTTCCATCTAGACGAGTACTGATTGACTGAAGGGAATCATCCTTTCCAGTCATGTTGACAATGAATAAATAACCACAATAATAGTATAGCAATCTGAGAATGAAAGAAGTAACAAACCAGCGGAAGCAATCAATCGGACAACGAATCAACAGCGACAACAAATCAACAGCAACAACAAATCAACGGCAATGACGAATCAAACCTCGGCTACAAAGTCTCTTAACAACGTATCAAACCTCCACTCTGATACCATGATAACATTGTCATATGATTATAATAAAGAGAAATTACAAGGGTTTTCAATGAAAAGCATAAAGACTACAAAGAATAAAGCGGATATAAATACTAGCTAGACAAAACCCTAATGGGCTAAAGGCTAAAGGGCCCATAAACAAGTGGGCTAATAATATATAGGCTAACATGTGGATCTTGTGTAATGGGCACAACATCCTAATTAAGACGGTCCATATAAGTGATGTTTGGCAAACATGCCTCAGTTACTTGGACAAATTCACGTGAGGTTGGATGTGAGATAACTTAAGTGAGAATCATGAGCCTCGGTATTGAATATTCTTTAAGATATTTGTTAGTATGTAAGATAATTGCTTTAAGATGTACGACGTTGCATTAGAAGACGTAAGACGATAGTCCACATATGTAATGTTTAGGAAGCGTACTTCCATTATGTAGGCATAAGTCGATGTTTCAAAGACGAATAACGATATGTATACATTACTTCTAAGACTTTGTGCAATTGCTATCTTACTTTAAATGGTTCTCTTTCCATACTTAAAACCATGGTTGCAGAAATCGGGATTAATCGGCGATTAATCGTGGATTAATCGTTTGACGTTCTCCAACCGATGAGGATTAGACCATTAATCGGAAATTTAGGATTAATCGGGTTTGGCGGGATTAATCGGCCTTGGCGGGATTAATCGGTTAACAAAAGTCAACAAAAGTCAAAAAAGTCAAAAAAAAGTCAAAAAAATGTAAAAAAATTTAAAAAAAAATTTAAAAAACCAACTTTTTTTTTACACCAAAATTTTCAAATTTTCAAAATTTCGAATTTTATACCAAAATGTTCATATTTTCGTATTTCCAAATTATAGTTTTTCTTATTTTCTAATTTTGAAGTACTTTTTTTTCTTAAGATATATTAATATTTAATTAATTTTAATATTTTATTAATAATCTATGGTCCCCGATTAATCTCCTATTAATCTCCGCCAAAACCTATTAATCCCTTAACACCAGTCGACCGTCGAGCTACCATCGAACGATTTTTACAACATTGCTTAAAACATATAGTATTAAAAATTGTTTTGGGGGTTGTGTATTGATTCAAGGAAATGAAAGTTCCTTGAACCATATGATGTTGAAGCCGGGTAGTACTCACTAGGCTCTCAAAGCCTAAACTATGTATTTTGTCATGTATTCATGTCAACTTTGAGGTGAGGAAGTTTGATGCAGTTGTGGTCATTTAGAAGGTCACGTTATGACGTTGATTATGGTATGGTATTGTCAGATCTAGGGATGAGCATATGGCCCGTTGAACCAAACCGGACCAGAAAAAAATTGGGGCCGGAGCCGACCCGAAATGTAAATACATTTAAGACCCGGTTTTTGGTTTTAATTTTTAACAAAAATTTGTTTCCGGGTTTTGACTAGATCGTGTCCGGAATAAGCGTTTTTACCCAGACCGGACCGGAAACGAAAAGTTAGTTTTTTATCGACGTACGACACCTAATCCCTACTCCATTAACTTTGTCGATCGTTTTAGGGTTCAGCTCGCTTCTCCTGTTCGATCGCAGACTACGAGTACAAAAAAAAAAAAAAAAAAAAAAAAAACTCTACTAATCTTCTTATGAATTATTGTATATTTAAATTTGAATATCAAATAAGCTATTTTTATAAAGGATCGCGGCGGATCACAACTGTGTTTGTTTACTGTACTCTCTCTTAGTAGAATTGTAGACAAACTATACATTCACACCTGAGCCATGGGTTTTTAAAATAGACGAGAGAAAAAGAAAAGAAAGAACTTTAAAAAAGAAAAATAAAACACAAAAGAAACATGGATTCCAACAAACAAACATTCGTGGAACAAGATTCAAAGGTTTCGTACATATGTATATGTTTGATGTGGGTTTTGTTTTTTTTGTTTCATATGTTCAAATGTTTGTCTTTTTATGCTTATTGAATAATTTCAATCATTCAATTAGATATGATAATAACAACAATTACTAGTTTTTATTAGCATAACAATTTATTAGCTAGTTACTAATTCAATGTATTTTGGACGATTTTTAAACTATGTGAATTTGGTCCAAAAACCAAAAACTCGGTACGGGATTCGGAACCAGCATACCCGGAACCCGGACCCCGGACCGACACACCATAAAATGGTCTGGTTTTTGTTCAAAGATTTTCAAGAATTTCGGGTTTTGTATTTTCAGCCTTTGGACCGGTTCAGTCTGGATCAATCAGACTCATTGCTCATTCCTAGTCAATACTTTATCTGTTTTTCATACTTGGCTAGGTATTTATTGAATTATTATAACATGTCAGTCTAGTAGTTAGGGGTGGCCGTTCAGTCGCCTATGATACTAGATTAGTGGCTTTGCTAAAAAAATTATGTCAATGAAGTTAAGATTGTTACACCCTTCATTTTTTTTAAAGTTCACCTTAAACTTTGATTTTGATGACATTAGGGCCTATATATCGGTCTAGTAGTTAGGGGTTGGCCAATTAGCCGCCTATGATACTAGGTTAGCGGTTTAAGGTTTTTATGACATTGGGACCTATATTTTCAGCAAACCATGCTTGATTTTGAAGAAGAAAAAAATTGTCACAAATTTTAACCATACAAGGGGTATTTCAACACAAAATTGAATTTCACTTTCGTCTAAGTAAATTCTATGCACTTTGTAATCTGGGGTTTGAACTTTGCACCTACAATATCATCCAATAGATTAATTTATTCTAAAATAGTCAAATACCTTTGCCTTTCCCAGATTTACAGATGTTACCAAAACACATTCCCAAGAGAAAGCGGAAGTGGGGAAGAAAATAAAATGTTGAGATCTGCTAGCTATTACATATAAGAACTAGCTATCAAGAACATAACACTGCTTTCAACCTACTTCCTTCACAAACATAAACACCACCTGTTTTTATACAAAGACTGACCCTAAATATATTTACATTTACAACAACATAATATTAACTTCTCCACCCATTAACCACATTACCAGCAGTTGGCCTCTTCGACCTCGAGCTTGTTACAGAAATTCCACTCTCATACATACGTTGAATTTCTTCTCTGTACTCTGTTAATGACTTGTCTGGTATCTTTGGAGTTAGTTCCACCACGTCCCCCATTTTCAGCTTGCAGCTAGGATCACTCACTGGCTCATGGTTCAGCTTTGGCATCAACTCTTGCTTCACAGAGAATCCATACGGTGTCCACGTGTAGCTTCCGTGTCCAGCCCTAGCAAGAAGATCCTTCACCGTTGAATTCGCACAAAATTCTTGCACCGACATCTGTAAACAATGTTCACAAGATAAATACTTCCCCACTTTCACCATGTTACAAGTTCAAGTCATTATATAGGGCAGGACACGATATGACAGAACAGGTTGTACTGCGTCTGACACGCATTCGACTGTGACCGGGACCGATGCCAATGGGACAAAAAAATTGAAATTCTTTGTCCTACCCAAAAAGAAGGAACAAGGTGGGATAGGGACTCGCTCTCGATCTCTTGTATATGCAAAAGACGTAAATGCCCTCCTCGTCCTCATCATCGAAAATAGCCCTAGAAAGCTTGTCCAGCCACTTCATGTCCAGGTCCAGGTAACAAACGCAGCTTTACGGCTGCGTTTGATAGAAGGGGACTGGACTCGACTAAACTAGACAAGTTTTCTATAGCTATTTTTGATGATGAGGATGAGGAGGGCATTTACGTCTTTTGCATATACAAGAGATCGAGAGCGAGTCCCTGTCCCATCTTGTTCCTCCTTTTTGGATAGGACAAAGAATTTCAATTTTTTGTCCCATTGACATCGGTACCGGTCACAGTCCAATGCGTGTTAGACGCAGTACAACCTGTTCTGTCATATTGTGTCCGTCTAAAAAGTAAAAACAAGAGATTGTTTTAGATTCTTGATTACTGACCTTATCGCTCTCAATCACGATTACAAATACGGGTCCATCAGATCCACACGAGGGTTTATATGAATGCGGGCAATCTTCAGAATGGAAAGGGAATTTACAAGGTGGTTTCATGGCTTCTGTGTAACCAATGCATGATTGATCTTTCATCATTGTCTCACAGTGCCATGTCACAACCCAACGTGCCCATTCCACCATCTGTAAAACAAAGGAAGAATGCATGCAATCGCCTTCTTTGTATCTCCAGTGAGCTGCAAATCCAAACTCGGCTTGTGAATGCATCTCTTTTGTTCTGATTTGAACTTCAAGTGGAACTAATCCTTCCCCCACCACTACTGTGTGCAAAGATCGATACCTACAATATAAAGTTTGTAATTAGAATAAAAAAATTTAAACAGCTCTTTACACTATGTTGTATTTAGTAATTCCATTAACATACCCATTACACTTTGGGTGATCTATATAGTCTTTGAACTTTCCAGGAACTTCAGACCATAAGTTGTGAACAAGCTGTAATGTTTTATAGCAATCCTCTACATTCTCCACAATCAATCTTAACCCATGAATGTCATGGATTTCATCCATACTCAGCTTTTTTCTACACCAAAAATTATACTTAAAAAATGTTAGATAACATTTAATGATATGCATACTTTACCAGAATATGGTGATAGGAGAGAAGGGAACATACTTTAGCATTTTGCAATGAACACTGTACAAGCTTTTATGTCTGCCATAAAGAACATGGTAAGAAATGGACTCATCTTTAAGAGCTTTTTCAAGTTTTTCAGCAGCAGAAGAGACCATTGCCTCATTGAAGGACTTTAGAAGTTGTGAAGATAGATCTTTGTATTGTTCAGGGTTTATATATTTGAAGCAGAGATTCTCCAACTGTTCTTTCCATCTAACGATTCCCAAACGGTTTGCAAGAGGAGCAAATATCTCCATAGTCTCTTTTGCAAATCTGTATTGCTTACATAAAGGCAATGCATCCAGTGTCATCATATTGTGCAACCTATCAGCTAATTTAATGAGAACTGCTCTTGCATCAGCCATTGCAAGAAACATGGTGTGCATACGATCTGCTTCAATGGTTTTAGTTGCTGTATTGCTTTCACGAGCAAGCTTACTCAATTGACTCAACTTGGACACCTGTAAATATGAAAATAATTTAAGTCTTTCAAAAATCTGAGTAAGATTTACCCATAAACTTTCTTAAATCTATCCCTTCATAAAATGTGCATAAAGACTAAACTCTACATAAAATGCATATAACAGATAATAGATAGAGATTGCATTATGTAGAGTCATACCCCTTCAACAAGATCAGCAAGCCCAGCTCCAAAAGTTTGAAGAATATAGTCATAGGTCATAAAAGAATCATCAAGTGTGTCATGTAGAAGCCCTGCAGCGACCACCATAGCATTGGCACCAATGGTGGCAAGCAAACCAGCAGTTTCGACACAATGTTGTAAATAAGGATCCCCACTCGCTCTCATCTACGAGATCAATATGGCAACTTTAATAGATAGAAAGAAATCCAAAGAATTTGAAATGAAGTACAGAAGAACATTTGTTAATACCTGTCCTTTATGCGCTTTAGCAGCTTCATAAAAAGCTTTGATTACCAATTCGTCGTTGAATATATTGTGTTTTAACTGCGCAGCCAAGAGCATATCTTTAGCGTAAGGATCGGGATTTGGTGCCTTCAAGTTATTATCATCCATGATAAATGTTAGTTCTTCAGCCAAATTATCATGCATTCGAAAACTCGACGAATAATCGACATACGAGCCTAAAGCGTGTGTAACAAACCCTTTGAACAAGCGCTTGGTCCCACCACGAAAGGAACCGTCTCTTTCCGGTGAAAATCTCATCGACGGAGTACTGCTTAACGAACCCGGCCCTTGAATAACCGACACCGGACTCTGATGAAGATGATCCCGTTTCAAACACGATCCAAAAGGTGAATACGAAAAGGAATTGCTCAACTCTTCCCCACATCTCAACGACGTCAAATCTTCCGCTCCACCGGAGGAAAAGCTCGATGAAGAAGAGAAAAGCGAAGAAAGTCCGCCAATGATTGACTTTTGCGATGACGAAACGGTGGCCGTCGACGACGACGACGAACGGCTGTTTAAATCAAACTCATAGGATCCATGTGAATTGATCTGACATGGATACGGCGTTGAGCACACACTACTTGGAGGACTTGCGTACAGTGCTATTGTCGGAACCGCCATGATTGACAAAACAGATCAATTTCGTAAAATCTAAAACCTAGGTTCTTGATAAAAGAAAAAAAAAAGTAAATTCTTCACTGAAATGAATGAAATCAGGAGAAAACAAATGGATATTGAAGATCAATTATGGTATTTATATAAAAATTTATGCAAATTAATTGGGAAGTCGACGAATTTGTTGATATGAAGAAGGTCAAAGAAAGGAAGAAAGGGGTTCTTCTTCTTTTCCTATTTAGAATAGGCGATCTTTTGATTTATAATCAATAAAAAAGAAAAACATGTTGCTTAGCGGCAAGGCGAAGGAACGTGGCTGAAATTACGAAAATACCCTTGAGACGTACCAAAAATAACGGAATCTAACAATATTGTTTCTAGAAGCAGTTTTGCAATATATCTGTCTAGAATACCCAAAACCCAATAGCTGGTTAGCTACTACTAGTAATGAGACCAGACAATTCATGAAATACTTAATCCAATTTGGAAAATATTTGAAATCGATTCGATTTTAATTGAGTCGAGCTCGAGATCGAGTTACTCGAGTACCTTATCGAGTCGAACTCGAGTAGTAAAACAATCGGCTCATAAAGCTAGTGAGCTTAATCGAGTAGTGTCATGAAAATCGAGACTTGGACGTTTGAATCAACCAATGCATGAGATATGAGCATTTTGAGATAAGATAATGAGAGTTTTGGGTGTTTGTGACTTTATCAGCCATGCAAAGGCTTAAAGTCACTGACTTTATGGAGTAAGAGCCTTTAGGGAGTCCATATCTGTGATATGAGCGAAGGTCTTAATTGATTAAGACCAAAAGAGTAGAAAGTGCAAAACGGGGGCGTACGCCGAGCGTAATCCAAGTACGCGAAGCGTAGGGTTGAGAATCCCCGATGCATGCGTGGCATCGGAGTACGCCCAGTGTAGAGATATTGTACACGCAGCGTTCTCGCTGGCGTTGACTTTTGGTTGACTTTTAGGGTTTGGTCAATTTGTGGACTATTAAGGCCATTGAGGGGTAAAATGGTCTTTTACCCTTCTGTGAGTTTGTAGAAGGGTTTGTTTAGCTTCTTGAGAGCCGTGATTAATTAGCGATAATTGTCGTATGTGTTAGGCGGAGGCTAGACCGGTGATTTGAGTTCGAGATTATCCGATTTCTTGCGAGGTGAGTCTTCTCACTATACTTACCACGGGTGGTATCTTTGTGTGACGGAGGTGTTTTATGTGCTTACCTGTGTATTGTGATATTCTGGATTATGTCTTTGTGATTTATGTTGAGTATTATTGTTATGAGCTTATTGAGTTAGGACCGGAGGGTCCACCCAAGTTGTGGGACCAGAGGGTCTCCACTGAGACACATTGACCGGAGGGTCGTATTGAGTTAGCCTCAAGTCGCTAATGTGATGTATGTGTGGTATTTTTGGGAACTCACTAAGCTTCGTGCTTACCGTGTTATGTGTTATGTGTTTCAGGTACCTCTCAGTAGCACGGGAAGGTACCGACTTGATTGTATACACACCCGAGTTGGAGATACGTTTTTGGAGGATCCTGGATTTGTGTTATAAACAGTTTTGGGACATGTGTTTTGACAATTTGATGTTTGTGGAATGTTGTGATTTTGAAATGAGATAATTGGGTTTTTAAATGAAAAATTTTGTTTGAAAATTTACGGTGTTCCAAGTTGGTATCAGAGCCTTGGTTTGAGGGATTCTGATGCACCCCCGGGTGTGTTTGGACTCAAACTGAGGATTTGAGAACATTTTTTCAAAAGAAATGGTTTTTCTGAAACGAGAAAGAGTTTTAAGAGAAAACGAGTTGGAGCAGTGTGTACAATCAGACATAGCCTGAACGGTGATTTCCTAAAATACCCTTACTTATTTGTGCTATGAGATATTTATGAGATATTAGAAACGCATGCTAGAGAATAGGCTAGGTATTTCATATTCTAGGGCTAGAGTTGCCTGATTTGTGATGCCTTAGCCTAGGAGATGCTATTGATCAGCGTTATCTGTTATTTTCCCTGAGTATGTGCTGAGTTCTGAGTTGAGCGGTAATCTAGGAGAGATACTTAGATGAGCATGCGAGTAGCCTACTGAGAGAGTAGTCTGATAGTTGTGAGAGATAGAGTACTTGTGAGTTATAATCCTAGGAGGAGGACTTGGGGTGACTACAGGTTAGGTGTGGAAGGTAGTATTGGGCCCGTACTACTGAAAGCACCATATCTTTATGCAATCCAATTAAGAATCCTTCGGATGCTAAGGAACAAGTAGGGATGAGTGGTCGAGTGTGAGTATGCTCGAGCGAGTCACTGATGATTTTTGTGTTATGTTTCAGAGACATCATGGTGGGTACACGCCACAACCCCGAGAGTAGTGGGACTAGCGATGATGAGATTCGCAGGATGATTCATGATGAGGTGGCTGCAGCCATTCGAGAGGCGATTCCTGAGATGTTTGGGTCTATTAAGACCACCCTGATCGAGACATATGATGAGCGATATGCTGCTGTTACTGAGGCGGCTGCTGCTGCAGCCACCGCAGCTGTCGCTGCTTCCAGGCCACAGGAGGTGACTCGTTATTGTTTTGGGAGTTCAGCAACACGAAGCCACCTGAGTTTGATGGGACGCAGGATCCGATTGTTGCTATGAGGCGGATCTCTGATATTGAGGGATGTTTTTACACATGTTCTTGCCCAGAGCATTTGAGGGTTCGGTTCGCGTTGAACCAGCTTCGCTTCGGAGCGAAGGACTGGTGGGATTTTGTGACAGCCAGTTTTACTCCTACAGAGCATACTGCAGTGACTTGGGAGAGGTTTGCATTGATGTTTCGAGATGAGTATGTTCCCCCGGTGGAGAGGGAATGGTTGGCCCATGAGTTTCTGTCTCTCAAGCAGAAGACAGAGTCGGTGACTGAGATTACATGGATGTTTCACGAGAGGGCATGGATTGGTTGAGCCGTTTTGGAGCAGTGATCGACTGCGAGCGTCAGTTGGTGACTATACAAGACCCTAGTGGGGGAGTGCTTACAGTGTATGGCGAGGGTACCAAATCTGGGTCAGCTTTCTGCTCTGCTGCCAGGGCAAGGCAGAGTCTACAGCAGGGTTGTATGGGGTTTCTGGCGTATGTGATGGATACACGAGTTGCCACAGAGAGGCCAAGTTCTATTGCCGAGGTTCCGATAGTGTGCGAGTTTCCTGATGTTTTTCCCGAGGAGTTGTCGGGTGTGCCTTCCGAGAGGCAGGTGGAGTTCCGGATTGATTTAGTTCTGGGCGCGGCGCCTATTGCCAAGGCACCTTATCGCCTTGCGCCACCAGAGATGTAGGAGTTATCCTCACAGCTCCAGGAGCTGCTGGGGAAGGGTTTTATTAGACCGAGTAGCTCACCGTGGGGAGCGCCGATCCTTTTTGTCAAGAAAAAGGATGATTCACACGAGATGTGTATTGATTACTGGGAGTTGAACAAGCTGACGGTCAAGAACCGTTATCCACTTCCGAGGATCGACAATTTATTCGATCAGTTGCAGGGGGCATCTTGGTTTTCCAAATTGATTTGAGATCTGGATATCACCAGATGAGAGTATGCGAGGAGGATATTCAGAAGACGGACTTTAGAACTCGATATGGGCATTACGAGTTTGTGGTGATGCCTTTTGGGCTCACCAACACACTAGCCGCGTTCATGGATCTCATGAACCGGTTGTGCAGGCCTATGTTGGAAAGGCCGGTGATCGTGTTCATCGATGACATCTTGGTGTATTCGAGGTCCAGAGAGCAACATGAGGAGCATCTGCGAGAGGTTCTTGGGGTATTGAGGTCGGAGAGGCTGTATGCCAAATTCTCCGAGTGTGATTTCTGCTTACGAGAGGTCCAGTTCCTGGGACACCTCGTTAATCAGAATGGGATATTGGTCGATCCGGCCAAGATTGAGGCAGTTATGCGATGGGAAGCGCCGAGATCCCCATCTGAGATCATGAGTTTTTTAGGATTGGTCGGCTATTATCGGAGATTTATCAAGGATTTCTCCAAGATTGCAGTTCCTCTCACCAGATTTGACCCGGAAGGGCGTTACTTTTGTTTGGGGGGCCTGAGCAGCAGGCATCATTCGGGACTCTTCTCCAGAGATTGTGCGAAGCTCCGATGTTAGCCATTCCGGAGGGAGTGGAGGACTTCGTAGTCTATTGTGATGCGTCTATTTCAGGGATGGGTGCAATGTTGATGCAGAGGGGTCACGTGATAGCATATGCGTCGAGGCAGCTGAAGCCCCATGAGACGAGGTATCCCACCCATGATTTAGAGTTAGGGGCGGTGGTGTTTGCCCTCAAGATTTGGTGCCACTATATTTATGGTGTCCGATGTACCATATACACGGACCATAAGAGCCTGAAATACCTGATGGATCAGCCCAACCTGAATATGAGACAAAGGAGATGGTTGGATGTAGTGAAGGACTACAACTATGAGATCTTATATCAACCAGGAAAGGCTAATGTTGTAGCCGATGCCTTGAGTCGTAGAGCCGAGAGCGCTCCGATCCGGGATGTGTGTATGAGGATGACTGTGATGACTCCAGTCTTAGATACCATCCGAGAGGCACAGATGGAGGCTGTGAGACCGGAGAACTGCAAGAGAGAGTGTGTGATTGGGCAGGTTTCCGAGTTTGTGGCGAACAGTCGTGGGCTTATGACATTCCATGGGTGGATTTGGGGTTCCCTATACAGGTAGAGCTCGCCATGTATTGTTGGAGGAGGCACATAGATCGAGATTATCGATCCACCCAGGGGCCACTAATATGTATTTGGACCTGAAGAGAGACTGTTGGTGGCCCTGTATGAAGAGGGACGTGGCATGGGTTGTAGAGAGGTGCTTGACCTGTCGCCGGGTTAAGCGGAGCACCAGCGTCCACATGGTCCTTTGCAGCGTTTAGAGATTCTCCAGTGGAAGTGTGAACAGATTTCTATGGACTTTATCACCAAATTACCGAGAGCTGTGCGTGGGGTTGACGCGATATGGGTGATTCTGGACCGACTGACGAAGAGTTCTCACTTCCTCGCTATCAGTGAGAGATCTTCTGCAGAGAGACTGGCCGAGATTTATGTGAGAGAGGTGGTAGCTCGGCATGGAGTGCTGACCTCGATAGTGTCAGATCGAGACGTGCGCTTTACTTCCAGGTTCTGGAAGAAATTTCATGAGGAGTTGGGTACCCGATTACATTTCAATACCGCATACCATCCGTAGACAGACAGGCAGAGCGAGCGG